GTGTGTGTGTGTGTGTGTGTGTGTGTATGTGGTGTGTGTCTGTTTTGTATATGTGTGTGTGTGTGTGTGTGTGTGTGTGTGTGTGCGTGTCTGTGTGCTATATATGCATGTGCATATAAATATTATGTGTGTGTGTTTGTGTGTGTGTGTGTGACAGAGAGAGAGTGCGTTCGTGTGTGTGTGTGTGTGTGTTTGTGTGTGCGTGTGTGTGTTTACGTGTTTGTGTGTATGTGTGTGTGCGTGTGATATAACTTCGTAACATGACCTTATGCCGATAAACCGAATATCCCAAAACCCGCCCCCGCCTATGCAAAGACAGCGTGGGCGGTAAGTAAAGATCTAATCCAAAACCCATACCCTTATACAGTATATCAGAGGCCATACGATAACAACCTCTCAGTCCATCTAGCATAAAACCCAAAAAGCTGTGTGGGACAATGCCATCGCATCTGGAACATTAGACAAGTGTTCTTCAAAACTTTTTCATTTTTTTTAAATCGTAACAAAAAGTGTTCTGATATCGTGTTCTTAGCGATTTTTTTAATATATTCTTACATCAAGTTTCTTAAAATTATGAGAAATCCGATTGAAAAAATATCCATACATACGGATATGCATATTTACAGAAATAAATTCCTGTCTATCTGTGAAATAGGAAGAGCCAGAAAATTAACAGGAGGAGGAGGAGGAGGACGAAGAAGAAGAAGAGGAATAATAATAAGAAGAGTAGAAGGGGAAGGGGAAAAAGAAGGAAAGGAGAAAGCAAAAGAAAGAGAAGAGTAGGAAGAGGCAATTATGCATGTCTAGACTGATAGATACGTACTTATTTACTTTATATTCATTTATTTATTTACTTTATAATAAATATTCATTATGTCGAGTGTCGAACAATTTCTAAAAATCGGTCGTTATTTGACCAACTTTTCCTATATATAACAACTTTATTCGATATATATTAGTTATTTATTAATTTCATATGTGTTTTGATGATGTTTATTGACATTGATATCATCTCTTGTTATTTGTCCTCATTGTTATTTTTATTATCTTTATTTTTATTATCATTTCTCATTATCATAATCCGTTTTGCTATTATGAGGACAGCTATCAATAATGCTTTTATCAAAAATAAGGATTATGATGATTGTAATAATGGTACCGATGATGATGATGGTGATGATGGTGATGATGATGGTGATGATGATGATGGTGGTGATGATGAGGATGGTGATGATGATGATTACGATAATGGTGATCATGATGATGATGGTGATGATAATAATGATGATGATGGTGATTATGATTACGATTATGTTGGTGATGATGATGATGGTGATGATGATGATAATAGTGATGATGATGAGGATGGTGATGATGATGATTACGATAATGGTGATCATGATGATGATGGTGATGATAATAATGATGATGGTGATGATGATTACGATTATGTTGATGATGATGATGATGGTGATGATGATATTGACGATGATGGTGATGATGATGATAATAATGATGATAAGGATAAGGATAATAATAATGATGATGATGGTGAGGGTGATGATAATGATAATGAAGATGATAATGATAATGATGGTGATGGTGTTGATGATGGTGTGTTGGCATCACAACAATTACTATTTATCATTATTATTACTTTCATTATCATTACTATTATCATTATTATCAGTATAATCATTTTATTATAACTATAACTACTATTTTATTTTATCATTATTACTAGTAGTAATGTTAGTATTAGTATTATTATCATCATCATTATTGTTATTATTATTATCATCATCATCATTATTATCATTATCATTATCATTATTATTATTATTATTATCATTATTATTATTGTTATTATCATTATTATTATCATTGTTATCATTATTATTACCATTATTATTATTACTATATTATTATTATTATCATCATAAATATTATTATTAATATTATTATTATTATCATTATTATCGTTATTATTATTATGATTATCATTATTATCATCATTATTATATTATCATTTTAATCATCTTTCATAACTGTTACTATTATTGTTTTCATTATCAATATCATTGACAATTCCATTACTATTATCATTATCAATATTATCTTTGTTATCAATACCGTCATTATCATTTTTTTCTTTTTCATTATTATTATTGTTATTGTTATTATTCTTATTATCATCCTTATTATAGTTCTTATCATTATTATCATTATTACAATTATCATCATCGTTACCATTATCATTATCATTATTAATATTATCAATACTATTATTGCTATTATTGATATCATTATCATTATTATCATCATTATCATTCATGACGTTGTTGTTATCTTTGTTATTGTTATCATTATCATTATTGTTGTTATTATCAATTATTATATCATTACTATCATTCTTATCATCATTATCATTATCATTCTTTTTCATCATCATTACTATACTAATACTACTAATCATAATTATTATCATTATTATTATCATCAGTATCCTTATCGTTATCATTACCATAATTATCATTATTATTATTACTATTATTACTATCGTTATTATTATCATTATCACTATTTTTATCAATTATTATTATTATTATTATTATTATTAATTATTATATTATTATCATTATTATCATTATTATTATTATTATTATCATTATTATTACTATTATCCTCATTATCATCATCATCATTATTATTGTTAATTATAACTGTTATCATCATCATTCATGTTACTATCATCGTTACCCTTACAATTAATAATATGGTTATTATTACCATTGTCATTATCATTATCATTATTGTTACCAATATCATGAATGTTACTCTTATTGTTATCATTAGTATTATTATTATCATTATCATTATGAGTATTATCACTGTTATCACAATCATTATTATGATGATTGTTACAGCAATGAAAAAATGCTGCCCATAGCATTCATAAGAAATTATAATCATCCATGGTTACATCTTTACATGAAAAATGTCTCTTTATATAACAAAGATAACATCCGTTATGTAAATGTAGTGCAATATTCAAAATTCTTTATAGGAAGTCATACTTGACCAAGCGAAGATATGTGTATTATTCATAACTTTATGTAATTGATTCTAATTCTCTGCAATCAGGAAGATTAATGCTATTATAAGAAATAAAAATAAAAATGCAGGGATGATAACTGCAAAGCAAAATAAGGATGGTTTTCGTATTCCAAATATCAGTAAATTTCAGTTCAATATTTCACTCTACCTTTCCCGGAATCCAGTCAACGGAATGTACAAAATTCTGTTGTCGAATACAAACCAGTTTCCGTCGTATCGGTGGATTCTAAACGGTTTAATGGCCGGAGGAATTCTGTTTTGGCTTCACAACGAATGAACTCCCACAGAGGATATAGGAGGAGCTCCGGCAGAACGGTCTCTATTCTAGTCACTCCCCTTGCACGACTCACGGCCGCTCGGAAGGCACCGGAGTGGGAGTGCTTGCGTGTCAACTCCCCGCACACAAATTTCGGCAAAAAAAACAAAACAAAAAAACATGCGTATGCTTCCGAGATCCAACTTCGCACCGGCTAGACTCGCCACCTAGACGAGGAAAGACCGTATGTTCGTATCCCCCCCCCTTCGATATTTCAATTCCTTTTATACGAACACTTTTTTTTCTCTCTCTTTTTTTTTGGCGCCAGTTCCTCGATATACACGTCTAGCCCGTCGCCAGACAATGGAACAAACACCCACACGAATTCGAGAGTCACCTTATCGCAGCTCCCGAAGGTGGCTCACCGATCCCACACTCACAAAGCACTTTCGCCTAACCTCTGCCGAGCTGAGGGCGCGAGCGAGGGGCGCAGGGCTGTTGCACGGTCCCCACGGCAAGCGGAGCAGGGCACACCAGGTAAGCTCCGTGGCTCAAGCTACACTGAGTGACGCGCTGGTCTCCCACCCCCGGGAAGGAGGTGGGAGGGACGCCGCTCTCCCTCCCTGCCCTGGCTCCTCCCCCTCCCGGTCCTCGCTCCTCCCCCTCCAGGCCCTCCTTGCCGCCTTCCCCGTTGCCCCTTAGTCTTTCCCGGGCGGCCGCCGGTGTGTGTATGTCGGCTTTAGTGAAGGCAACCTGGCTGTTCTTCGATTTTTTGTAGTGGCATTTTATGTTTGGGGGAGGAACAGGCGGATGGAGGGAGATATGGGGGAGGAAGCATGGCTCTCTTCTCTCTCTCTCTCTCTCTCTCTTCTCTCTCTTCTCTCTCTCTCTCTCGTCTCTCTCTCTCTCTCCTGCTTTCTGCGTCGGTCTGCCGTCTCTTCTCTCTCTCTCGTCTCGTGGTCCTTCGTCTGTCTCTCTCTCGGTCTCGTCTNTTGTGTGTGTGTGTGTGTGTGGGTGTGGTGTGTGTGTGTGTGTGAATGTATCCGAAGGTATACTTCATATATAATATAATATATATATATATATATATTAGTTGTATAGTAGTATGGTAGCATACTAATACATACAAACTATATATATATATGTATATATATATAGTATATATATATATTATATATGTATATATATATATATATATTATATACCTGCTGTTTGATTTATCTGTCTATCTAATTATCTACTTAGATATCTTTTTAGCCATGTATATATCTTTCTATCTGCTTATTTAGCCGATGTAAGTGTCTGACATGTATGTTTTCTGAATGTATGAATGCGCATTACATTATCTACTTATTTAGCGATATATATGTTGGGCAAGCATGTTATCTGTATGTATATATGTGCAGAATCCATGTCGAACAAACTGCGACAGGAACAACGAAGGGAACAAGAAAACACACGAATATGCATATTCGTGCGTTTTCTTGCTCTTCCCTTCGTTGTTCCTGTTGCAATATGCATGTGCTTTACATCAGCTACTAATCTAGTGACATACGTCGGATATGTATATGGTTTGTATATATGAATATGCATTACATTATATTTTGTTTCAGACGAGGCTTCCTTGATGACTCTGACAACCCATACTTTGGCTGCCGTCCTTGAAGCTTCCGAGAAACCTTTGTGCTCTGCGCAGTTTTTGACGGATGGTTCTCTATCTTCTTACTCATTGTTCCAGGTCAGTTCTATTGTACTTTTGTTTAAAAGTATTGTAATGACATCAGTTAGAAAGAATTTATTGTGCATTTCTTAATCCTTTTGGGCCATCGTGTTATCATTGGATTCTATTAACAACTAGAATTAGTGATGTGTTCATTAGTCTATCATTTTCGCCTCTATGGATATATAAAACTATAAGATGGGTGTATGAAAATTTGTTTCCCTTTTCCTAAACCCTACGGTGACGGGGCCTGATTTAAAGTAAAGTTTTTACTAGCCCCACCTTCTCCATTGCAGTTGAAGCATCGGCTACCTGCTCCTCGGGGTGTGGGCGTTTTTGAAGTGACTCGAAGCGACCTCGAGGACAACACGACAGAAGCAAAAGCCTCCTCAGTTATTGCCGAAGCAAGGAAAGTATGTTCTTGAAGATTTGTACAAGTTCCGAAAATATCTGAAAATTCGGGAAATAAAACGCAGATACATGGAGAGATAAGCAAGGAAATGTAACGTACCAAATCATATTAGACTCCCTCTTTATAATATTTAACCGTTTTTCCTTATTATGGGGTGTGAGTTTGCTCCGATAGCAGTACTTTCGTTCTTTCTCATTAATACACATATCTCATTCCTACTGTTTATCATTATAACGATCTAGTGTTAAACCGCTGCCTTATAAGAATTTACTTGTCCGTATACAGTATAAACACTGATTCATAAATATTTCTTATTAAAATAACCAATTTTATTTTAGCCCAATGATTTCCCACTGTACGTTACTTTCACCACACACCTTAATTTATGACAATGGTATGACAAAACTCCTCAATGACACCCTTCTAAGATGCGTGAATTGTCGTGGTGCGTGAACGTGGTCGTCCTGAGCGACGACCCCGCCTTCCTGGCCTCCTTCGCCGAGTCGTCGCTCCGGGGCCGCCTCCTGGTGTGGGCCACGAGGCTCCTGGTCGTCACCCGCCTGCCCCTTCAGGAGCTCCGCCGGCTCCTCGCCTCCTCCTGGACCTTCTCCATGATGAACGCCATGGTCATCAACCTGGAGGAGAGGTCAGGGCAGTTCAGGTAATTATGTTGATTGCACCGGAAGTGTTGTTAATTAGGGGTAAAAATATATTCAAATTAGGTAGGCAATACCTCTGACAATATTGATGAATAGAACGGAAGTAAACTAATAAAATGATAGTGATGGTGATGAACATATTATTACTACTTCTGGCGTAAATATCAGTGATGATGATGGTGATCGGATGGTGATGATACTGAGGATAACAATGATAACAGCAATGATGATAACGATGATAATGATGGTAGTAATAGTGACGATAAGAATGATACTGATAATAGTAATGATAACGATGATAATAATGATGATCATATAATAACAATAATAATGATAGTGATAATGATAATAATAATGATAATGATAATACTAGTAATGATAATAGCAATAACAATAATGATAATCATAATAAAATGAAAATATATTAATAATAAATATATATGATAATAATATAATAATAGTAATAATAATAATAATATATAAATATAATGATAATGATAATGGTAATGAAAATAAAAATACTAACAACAATGATGAAAATAATTATATTAATAATAATGGTACTTCTACCACTACTAACACTAATATAGATGATGATTATGATAATGATGACAATAATGACAAGGATAATAATGGCAATAATGATAATAACTATGATAATAATATTTATAACAATAGTGATCATAATGATGATAATAACGATAATTATGTAATGATGATGATAGTGATGATGATGGTGATGATGATGATGATGATGATAATACTGATAATAGTAATAACAATAATAAAAACAATAACTATAATATTGATAAAAAACAACAACAATGATAACATAAATAAAAACAATAATTACAATAGGAACAATAATAATGAAAACAAACAACGATGATGAAAATAAGAAAGATGACACTATTTATGGACATCATAGAAATAAAAATACTAATAAGAAATAGAATAAAAATAATAACAATACTACTACTTCTACTGTCTTACTGTTATGTACTGATGATATAATGACAATAATAATATGATGGTTAATTATTATAATGATAAAATAATGATAATAATAACAATAAAAGGTAAAAAAAAAATAAAATAATAACAGTAAGACGATAATGACATTAACAAAATAACAAGATCTAAGACATCATAATCACAGATGTTGATAATATAATTTTTCCCATACCCTACAGATATCGAATCTACACTCACCAGCCATACAATACACCTGAAGGAAAGCTGGTACACTTAGCTACCTGGGCTCCTGAATACGGTCTCTACGTCAAAAGCGGACAGAGACTCTTCCCGGAAAAGTTTGAAAAGTGAGATTTTTTTTCTTAATTGTTATATGATTTCCTTGTGATGTGGATTTTATGCGAGTTCGAAAAGGTGTTTCGTTGTGTGGAGGAAAGTGGGTGATATTCGTATAAGTGAGGGAAGTTGGTTAGATTGGGTTGAATCGTCTAATTCACTGAATAAAAAGAAATTTCATTTAATAATGGCCGAAGTCAAGAAATATAAAGCAACATGAGAGAACACAGCTAATCACTTAATTTTATCTAAAAAATGAAAAATAATCTAAATACAAAAAATTATATTCATATATGTTTGAGAATGAATTTCACAATACAACATGAGTATTTAATCGGTTATGAATGTTTTTCTGACGAATATATATTCGAAACCGGTCAAATACATCTCTTGTATTGTGAAGATATTCATTCTCACTCATACCTTTCCATACATACATAGATACATACATAAATATATATATATATATATATATATATATATATATATATATATATATATATGTGTGTGTGTGTGTGTGTGTGGTGTGTGTGTTGTGTGTGTGGTGTGTGTGTCTATATATATATATATATATATATATATATATATATATATAATATATATATATATATATATATATATATATATATAATATATGGTATGACTGAGAAGAATATTCACAATACATACATACATACATATATATATATATATATATATATATAATATATATAATATATATATATACATACATATATATACATATATATATATATATATATATATATATATATATATATATATAATATATATATATATATATATACATACATACATACATACATATATATATATATATATATATATATTATATATATATATATATATATATATATATATATATATATACATACACACACACACCACACACACACAACACACACACACACACACACAACTACACACACACACACACACACACACACACACACACACACACACATACACATATAGTGTAAATAGATCAAAAACGTGTTCTTTAATCTACTAATATTTTTTTTTCAATCTAATACTGCTAAAAAAAAGCTTCCGCGGCGCCGAGGTGGGCGTGACAGCCTTGCCATTCCAACCGTACTGGATCGAGGAGGAGACGACTGGGCAAGACGGGGCCCTCCGTAAGACGTACACTGGCTCCGACGGCCTCCTGTTGAGAACGATCGCCGAAGGTCTCAACTTTACGTTCACTCCTCTTCCGGTCTCTACTTGGGGAGAAGTAAGTGAATGGGAAAGGAGAGTGCTTGCTTTTCTGTTTTCTCGTGTTCGCAAATGTTCTTTTTGTTCTCTTGCTCGTGTGAAAGAGATATGAAATGTTTTCTTTTCTGTTTTCTGATTTTAGGAAATGTTTTCTTTGTTCTCTTGTTCGGGTGAAAGAGAAAGCGTATTATTTTCTGTTTTCTAGTGTTCTGAAACAATCTCTTCGTTCTATTGTTCGTGTGAAAGAGAGAAGAGAGTGTTTCCTTTTCTGTTGTCTGATATTCGGAAATGTTCTCTTGTCCGGGTGACAGATAAAATGGTGTGTTCTTTTCTGTTTTACGCGGAAATTTTTTTTTTTGTTCTCTTATTCGTCTGCTGAAGATTATAATGTAGTTGGATGGTAGTAGGCTTTGACATATCGAAATGTGGCTGGAGGAGACCATAGAGTAACTCTATGTATTATTTCACTGTTAAAGAGATGAAACCGAGGCAGAAATGAAAAAGAGACATGAACAGTAGACAATAAAGGTGATGATAAATATTTCGATTGTAAGGATAAAGATGATGATAATTATTATAGCTGTGATATATAACAACAGAAGTACTAACAATAAAAACAACAGCAAAAGTGATACAGAAACACAAAAATAATGATCCTAAAATAATACTTTTTGAGATTTCGTTTACAGCCCTGTAGTTATTGATTTTGTTCTTAAGATTCTTAAAATGGAAAAAAAAATTATGAAGAGATATAGAAGGGATTTAAGTTAATGAGAATAATAACTACGTTCAAAAAAAAAAAAAAAAAAAAAAAAAATAAAGGTATAGATGAAAAATTGGTGAACTGGAAATGAGTGAAGTTTCATCTTTCAGATCCCTTTCATTTACTTAAAACACTTATTTGGTTTCTGTGAACATGTTATTGTATACCCACTGCATTGTAATCATGATTTAAGTCTGGATCGTAGAAATGCGATAGGATAGATTAAAAGATAAAAGAGAACTCCCTAAATTAATAAACGAATCAAATGAAGATTAAGGGAAAAGTAAATGCAAAAGGGATAAAAAACAAAGCAGACAAATCATTCATTGTTCAAAGATTAATATACATATATAAAACACATTATCATCAAAGACATGGGCCGCAATGGCATCCCTATGCCGGCAATGAAAATGCGCTTGAAATGCACTGATTAACACCCACAGTTTTGATTATTTAATCAGTGTCAAATTCCATAGGATTAGGGGTGGTTCGTTATCCTGATTATCTCTTTTCATGTGAAGACATCCGTTGAAAGAAGGAGCAATACTCCCATTTCACATTCCATAACGACGTCACTGTTCAAAACATTAAGAATTCCCATATAACAAAATATGAACACTGTCGCATAAAATACCTCTATAACAGAATCTGAACATACTGTGCGTCTCTTGAAATATCTAAATATCTGCTGTTATATGAAGTACCCCTAGCAACATAATATAAACACATATAAAATATCCACGGAACCAACTACGAACCTAGGGTACGCCGTATAAACAATAGCTATCTTCAGGTGACGCAGCGGGTCGTCGAGAGGAGAGCCCTTATGGCGGTCGTCCATCACGTCCTCCTGCCACAGCGCAAGGAACGGTACGACTACACCTACACCTACGAGCAAATTCTGTTCGACTTTTGTATGGCCAGGCCCTCGCTCACGCCTCAGTGGCAGAGTCTTTACTACCCGCTGGCTGACGCCGTGTGGGCCTGCATCTTGGCCGCTGTCCTCTTCATGGCTGTTGTCTTGTATATGGTACTGGCCTCCTTTATTGCCTGAAACATAGCAGTTTAGATATACATATATATATATATATATATATATATATATATATATATATATATATATATATATATATATAAACAAACACACACACACTTAAATAGCCTTCCTTGCTCCCTAATCAAGGTCACCAACGGAACCAGGCAAGAAAAAACAAGAAATTCAGTCCCTGGAACGTGACGGAAATCACCCTGGGCTCTCTGCTGGGGCAGTCCGTCCCGCTGGACAGGGACACCAACGGGTTCCGCGTCTCAGTGGCTTCTTGGCTCGTCTTCGCCTTCGTCGTAGGCACGGCTTATCGGGGCAACCTCACCGCCGCCCTCACGCTGCCCAAGTACCCTGACAGACCGGAAACCATCGAGCAGCTCGTTAAGGCGGTGGACAGGTCAGAGAACATAATAGGAATGAACACCGTTACTGTAATGAAATGACTGCTAACTATAGTATGTGAATGTTATTGTAATACAGATAGCAATGCATGTGAAAAGGAATGTTTGCTTTACTGCTCACATAATAGTGAGAGAAAACACGTATTAGTCAATGTTCCATATTAATACTACTTTAAACACACATGCACACACATATGTACACACATACACATATTCACACACGCGCACACATATAAACGTGCATATAAATATTACTATTTATGCATGTACCGTTCGCACACGTATTTCCACCACTCTCATACCTTCTGACGAGCGCCTCAAAATCTTCAGCGTGACGATGCCGAGTTACGGGACCGAATTCCAGGCCTTTTTCCTGAGGTCGAATTCCGAGGTGTTCCGCACCCTCGGAGGCCTCATGGAGATCGTGCCCTCGGCCATGGACGGCCTCAACGGCGTCGCCACCAAGAGGTGAGATGCCATGGCCCGCGGTTTGTAGTTATGGTATGTTCGAGAGACTAGTGCACATATGCATATATATATATATATATATATATATATATATATATATATATATATATATAATATATATATATATATATATATATATATATATATCATACACACGCATATATTTGTATGGATGTATATGCATATATATATATATATATATATATATATATATATATATATATATATATAATATATATATTATATATATATATATATATATATATATATATATATATATATATATATATATATATATATATATATATATTTATACATACATGTGTGTATATACACATGTACATATACATACACACAGTTGGGACACAGGGTTCCAGAAAATAGATCTGTTGTTTTTAATCCCCTTATTTATTCTCATCTCTCACAATCAACATTTTAAAATTAGTGGGCTAAATAAGTCATGCTATATGAGACAATCAAAGGATGTTGAAGTAGAAGTGAAACTAATCTGACCCCGCCATGCTGCTTTTTCCCTTTTGAATTCAGAATTGGTAGAATTTGTTTAATTTTCATAATTACCTATTCTAATTTCTACAGATATTGAATCGCATGACAATTGCATATGAATATAACTAAATGAATGAATTTTGTGATTTATAAGAAGATTATGATACAATTAAATAATATGAAATAAAAAATAACATCATATGTTAATAGAATAACAGCAGGGTCTAAAGAACAATATTATCATATATAACAACAAAAGAACACATAAATCATATCACACGAAAGAACAACGAACAAAAGAACATAGCAGAACTAACTCCTTGGATGAAATATGCACGCTCTTGATAAGCAACACTGCAACACACGTACAAAACAATCACAAACACACATACACAAAAACAAACACTAACCAGACAAACAAACATATATTTCTACACATCCCACAGGCAATCCTTCATGGACGGGCGGCGCTATTTGGAGCACATGATCGCCGAGCACTTCACGGACGCGCGCGGGGAAGCCCAGCTGTACGTGGGGCGGCAGAGCGTCCTCCCGGGGCTGGCGGGCTGGCCGGTCCCCCACGACGCGCCCTACAAGCCGCAGCTCGA